CCAAATACATTAAATGAACTTAATAAAGATAAATATTATATAATGGAATTTTGATTATTATATTGATATTTGATTTGATTAATGTGGAATTGATTTGAACACTATTTGACATTTGATTTAATTTGTTATTACTCATATTAATTGTATTTTGATTAGGATTACCAGCTTTGCTGACTTTTGTGTTTGTTTGACTGCAATGATCCTGCGGCTGCGGGGGAGCAGATTTTCAGTGAAGCATGTTGCAAAGGATGGGGCTAGCTGTGGACAGTGAGGATCACGACTCGAGTATTTCAAGCTAGTTTCTAAGTTTAGAAATTTATGAGATTTAAATAAATGCATAAGACATATTTCCTTTATTTAAATTTTAGTCTTTGGTTTTATTTTAATGTAATAAATTTAGCCTTGCACCTGTTCATTGTACAGGTGCGGCGGTAACATTCCCCAAATTAGATTTTGATTAGCTTCCGCAATATTTCTATTATTATAATTGTGAAAAAAAAAATGAATTTTGACAATTTATTTATTATAAGATTGTTTCATAAATTGTTAGAAATTTGGGGTGTTACAAAATGGTATCAGAGCCCCTGGTTGCGGCTGGGGTTTGCTTTTGATATTGACTCGAGGGATCAAAGATCCCTGAGTTAAATAAAAAAAAAAAAAATTAGGAAATAAAATAATAGGACATAATGTAAATAAATAAATCGAGAGATGGGTAGTGAAGGGTTATTTTTCTTGTCCTTTAAATATGATTTATTTCTTTGAAATTTCGATGATTATATGTTTGGAATTATTTTGTGATTTAAAATTATTATTGATAATATTCTTTAACATTTTTTTTTATATACGCTATCTTTTGTAACTCGTTCTTATTTTAATAAAAGTAATTAGCTTTCTTTTAGAGTTGTTCTTGAAATAATTAAAGTTTTTCTAGCAAATGAAAGATAATATATGTAATAAAAATTTCTATTTGTTTAAACAAGATATTCAGTTTCGAAACTTTTTTTTCTAGCTTTTTTTGGAGTTACCCAACCCTAATTATCTCTTTTTGAGACGAGTTGGCTCCCTCCGGTATCCCCACGAGCTTCGACTCTTTGAGCCGGCTATGGGACTAATCCGGAGTGCGGGGGAACAGTGATGACTAAAGGTTCAGCCCCCTCCCCAAGAATGCATTCAGCGGTAATCGAACACGTATCCAACCCCACTAACTCAGCGCCAAACTTTTTTTTCTAGCTTGGTTAAAGTTAACAAGTCATTAATTTGCAGTGCTTTAAATTTATTGTATTCTATGTTGTCTTGTTTGCCGGGTTATGCATGACTCTTTGATGTTTGCTTACATTTTTTTAAAGGGGTTTCAAAAAAAAATTAATTAATTAAGTTTCGAGGACAAAACTTCTTTTAAGGAAGGTAGAATGTAATACCCCCATATTTTTATTAACTTTAACCTTATGCCTTTAAGTTAATTTGAGGAGCTCAAACTTCTAAGTTTCGAGGACGAAACTTCTTTAAGAAGGGTAGAATGTAATACCCTATATTTTCTTTTAATAAAATAATAATAATAATAAATATTTTTTGGATAATAATGATATTTAGTATTTTTGTAATTAATAATATTGGTATTTAATATCTTTAATTAATGAGTTAATAATAGTTAAAATAATAAGAGGTAAGATAATAATAGTAATATTATTTAATTTATGTGATAATATATATATATATATATATATATATATATTAGATGATAAATTATGATTAATTGATTTATTAATTGATTGATGATTTATGTATTTATGTTTGATTAGTAATGATTGATTAGTAAATTGTTTAGATATGATGAGTCAACAAACATAAATTGTTTAGATATGATGAGTCAACAAACATATATTGTTTAGATATGATGAGTCAACAAACATATATTGTTTAGATATGATGAGTCAATAAATATAAATTGTTTAGATATAATGAGTCAACAAACATATATTGTTTAGATATGATGAGTCAGCATTGAGTCAGTAATGTATAAGCCCTAAACTTCAACTATAAATAGAGACCTAGCTTAACCAAACCAATTCACTCTCCTCTACTACTCTCTCTCTTCAAAAAGCTTATTTTAATTATTTTCAATCTTTATATTTTTTTTATCAACCGGTTCTCTACCCCAAATTACTCTTTTCTTCTAGAAGTTAGCGCGGAGACCAGGTAATCCTAATCTCTAGGTGGTTGTAGATTCGTTGTGTATGAAATTTTTATTATGTGTAATCCTAATCTTTAGGTAGTTATATGTTTGATATGTGTAATCCTAATCCTTAGGTTATAATTTTGTTTGAAGTTTATTAATAGTAATCTTTATCCCTAGAGAGTCATAGATTATATTGATATGAATTTCGGTATATGTAATCCTATTCGTAGGTTATTTCTTTTATATAAAACTTGGATGTAATCTGAATCCTTAGGTGTTTAGGTTATCTCTATTATATGAAATTTGGGCATAATCCTTATATGTAATCCGTAGATGTTCTTAATAGTTTGGTATGAACATTTCTATATATATAGGTATTTGTTTTTTTTTAAATTTAAATTACTACATATGATAATTAGAATATTTTTGGAAATTTTTTTATTATTTCAGAAATTATGATTATGTGCAATATATGATATAAACTTTTAATTCATGTGCAATATATGGATCTTATTGAATAATTATGAAAATTATGGAATTATACTACTCTTTAAGAAAAACTTTCCAAATATGTGTTTTAATGATTGAATTTAAATATTTATATTATTAATAACTATGATAATTGATGTGATGGGATTATTTGAATGACGATGATTGGATTTAGATTTTTCTATGATGAATGTTGAAGATTTGAATTATTATATCCTTGAATAAATTGGAAAGTTATGATGATGATCAGATTTGGATTTTACTGTGATGACTGTTGAAGATTTGAATTATCATATCCTTGAATAAATTGGAAAGTTATGATAATGATCAGATTTGGATTTTACTGTGATGACTGTTGAAGATTTGAATTATCATATCCTTGAATAAATTGGAAAGTTATTATGATGATCAGATTTGGATTTTACTATGATAGATGCTGAAGATTTGAATTATTATATAAATTCGAGAATTTATGATAATAGTTGTTTGAATTATGATACTTTGGAAAATTATAATGCCGTTGAGTAACTCATTTAGAGATGATAATACTTAAAGAATAAATAATTATGATTGAATCTTTCCTGATTGTGTGTGTTTGTAATAAATTAATGGTGGGAAGATAGCTTTGGGATGGTACCTCCCAAGGTGATGAACACAACTTTTGGGCTTTATGCCTCCGATGTGAAACTGATGTGAAAAAGATTATATCCGTTCTTTCCAAAGTGGTGTCTGGCAGGGTTTCCCGGGATACTAGTAGCAACTTTGGGAAGAGGTGTGCACACTAGGAAGATGTGAATTGATTATGGCCAATATGATTTGTTTGTGACTGGCAGGGTTTCCCGGGTCACAGGGTAGACTGGCAGGGTTTCCCGGGTCTACCATGGTTCTCTTCCCACTAAATATAACGAACTTAAACATTATTAATAATGAAATTTGTTATTTGATTTGATTATGAAGAATGTCATTGAGTTGTGAATATTATCATATTATGACTAATGTTGTGCTAAATATATTAGTTGATAATTACCAAATACATTAAATGAACTTAATAAAGATAAATATTATATAATGGAATTTTGATTATTATATTGATATTTGATTTGATTAATGTGGAATTGATTTGAACACTATTTGACATTTGATTTAATTTGTTATTACTCATATTAATTGTATTTTGATTAGGATTACCAGCTTTGCTGACTTTTGTGTTTGTTTGACTGCAATGATCCTGCGGCTGCGGGGGAGCAGATTTTCAGTGAAGCATGTTGCAAAGGATGGGGCTAGCTGTGGACAGTGAGGATCACGACTCGAGTATTTCAAGCTAGTTTCTAAGTTTAGAAATTTATGAGATTTAAATAAATGCATAAGACATATTTCCTTTATTTAAATTTTAGTCTTTGGTTTTATTTTAATGTAATAAATTTAGCCTTGCACCTGTTCATTGTACAGGTGCGGCGGTAACATTCCCCAAATTAGATTTTGATTAGCTTCCGCAATATTTCTATTATTATAATTGTGAAAAAAAAAATGAATTTTGACAATTTATTTATTATAAGATTGTTTCATAAATTGTTAGAAATTTGGGGTGTTACAGCTTGTCTCATAGATGTTATTGTTATTTTCAAATCTGAACCGATATAAAGAGGTTGCACGTATTCCAACAACTTGGGCTATAATTTTGTGTTTTTTGTTATGTTGCAGACGTCAGAAAGAGAAAAAGGAAGAAGTGGCAGAGCCTGAGGTTGATCCTGAAAGAGATCAAAGAACGGTGTTTGCTTATCAGGTATTCCAAGTACTTGTGGAATGCAATCACATGATCTTTTTGTTGATATCATTTACTGTCAGATCTAATCTTCAAAGCATTTTCACAGATTTCTCTGAAAGCAGATGAAAGAGATGTATACGAGTTCTTCTCGAGGGCTGGCAAGGTCATAATATTCCATTTACTTTCTTTGCTATCAAAAAAATTGCTTTCATCTGTTACTGTAGCTGGCATTACTCACGGTGCATAATGCATGAAAGTGAATTATGACATTATTAATAAAAATGGATCTTTTCCTTTTGAGCTTTTAATTGAATAGATCCATGTCTTCCTTAAAGAGTAAGATTTCTGGATGCAGTATAGATTTGAAAGGCATGTAATGCATTTCTATGTTTTTATCAGACAAAGCATTGGAAGGAAATCCATTCTTGTTATAACCTAGGCAGTGACAGTGTAAATAATTGTACTGTCCAGTAAATCCTTTGGTACCTCATGTTTGGAAAACTTCAATTGCAAGTGGAATATTGTAGTTATGCTCGAGTGATGTTGCACTTTCTTGCTTACTGATAGTATTACACTGTCTGGTGGACCAAATTAAAACTCAATATCTCATTTGCTGCTTTTTCCTTTCTTTGTTTTTTGCCCAATTTTGTTCCTTACAAAAACCTTTTTGTTCTTTAATATATGCCTTTCTGACATCTCTAGTTACTATTTTCAGGTGCGAGATGTTCGCTTGATTATGGACCGCAATTCAAGACGTTCTAAGGGTGTTGGGTAAGATCTTATAACTGTGGTCAGAACTAAATTTATTTATTTCTCCTCTTAATTATGTCATCTAATCATTATTTCAGACTGTCGTTTTGTTCCCGTTTCAGCATCCTTGCTTCTAACTTCCTTTCGAACTTATGCAAGACAAAAAGTAGCATGTTCGGCTGTTGGGAACAGCCGAACAGAGTTAGCTGTTACATAAATAAAAAGAGATAGGTTTATATTTTGAAATCAGTACTTCATGTTTGATTCAAATGAGTTTTTACAACTTAGAGTTCTTTGTAAATGAAATGATATTAATTCTGTGAACATTACCTTGGGGTTGAACAAGTGTATGAACTAATAGATTTTATGATGTGAAGAAAAGTAAAATTAATAGGAGTTGATCTTGCCCGTCTATCTGCCCCAGAATCTCCTTCATAATAATAATCTTTTATATTTTTCCCTTCTAAATTGCATATATATAGAAACCAGGGTGGGTATTTACACAGTGATGTGACCAGGTCACTAGTTCAATCACTCACTCACTCACTAGTTATAATTAAAATATGCAATTATGCAAGGGTAAGACTGCGTATAAGGATTGTCCCTCACTCACCCTCTGGGGTTTAATGGGGAGTGCTTTTATATATATATATATATATATATATATATATATATTTATATATATTTTAAGGTAGATATTTTAAACCTTGTCTTCAACGGCTTCGTATGATTATGTATTGCTTTCTTTATGTTTGCAGGTATATTGAATTCTATGATGTCATGTCTGTCCCCATGGCAATAGCACTTTCAGGTCAACCTCTTCTTGGTCAACCAGTGATGGTGAAGCCATCAGAAGCAGAAAAGAATTTGGTTCAGTCCACAGCATCTGTTGCTAGTGGACCCAATGGACTTATAGGCCCTTATTCTGGGGGAGCAAGAAGGCTGTATGTTGGCAATCTGCATTTCAATATGACCGAAGCTGATCTTTGTAGGGTGAGCATATCTTGTTTGTTTTGTTCTTTGGATATTTCATTGATGCATTTTATGATTAGTTCTCTTGAACTGATTGGCTGAAAGGGGTCCTTATGATATGATGTAATGTTGAGAGTAGAATGAGATAGGTTCATGGACTGAGAACTTATCTGCTCCTTTTTTTGTTGTCTGTGCCTATTCCTTTCCTTGTGTTACATTTCTTTTTGATTACTTGAAAGTCAAGATTTAACTTTTCCTTTGCTGTTTAATGATGGTATCTTATATTTGTTCAAAAAAAAAATATTTATTCAAAATAAAAATAAAAATAAAAATTATGGTATCTTATTTCCAACATTGCTTCTAATTGATTGTGTTATTCTTTTTTTCTCCTTTGTTAAATTGTTTAGGTGTTTGAAGCATTTGGTCAGGTTGAGCTAGTCCAGCTGCCTCTTGATGAAAGTGGGCACTGCAAAGGTTTTGGCTTTGTACAGGTGAATTTTATAATAGTTACTTATTTGTCTGAGTTAATCGTATTAAGTATTTCTACTTTGCTTTTTTTTGTTAGCAATATATCAAGCAATTGCTTGTATTCTATGTGGAAGCTTTCAATGAATTAAACTGAGGGAGAACTTCTATTTGGACCAAATGGAGTAATGATTTACTCATGAATAAAGTTGCTACTGGGTTCTGATGCTATTCTATTAAGATGACTTTATGATATGCTTTCTTCAAGAAGCAATTTTTTTCAGATTGTAGGTTAATTAATCAATTGTTTATTGTAGTTTGCACGCCTTGAAGATTCAAGAAATGCCCAGAGCTTGAATGGTCAATTAGAGATTGGTGGCAGGACAATCAAGGTACTGTTGAATTGCTGATTTGTTCATATATGAGTTTAGTTGGTCTTCTTTTACTAAAATTAGCCAATTAGGCTTTACATTTCCTGAAGTTTGAGTTCCTATTAAATTTTATAAAATGTGAATTATTCAATGTTGTTAAACTTGAGATCTTACTAAGGATTGGAAGGGAGTAAAAGATTTTTATATTGTACGATTGATACGGATTGTAAAATCTTATTTGAAATATAAAATTATATTCAAAACATATATATATATATATATATATATATATATATATATATATAAAGGAAAAAACTACTCTTATGTTATATATGATAACTTTCTCTCCTACACATCCTTTGATAACTGTGCCACCTTTTTTTTTTAGATGGTAGAGCCCACAAATTTATTTCTATGACATGAGATAATTTATCTCCTTTAACACGAGATTAATAAAACCCATATATAAAATGACAAAACAAAAATAATATTTAAATCAGTAATAAATTTAATTAAAAATTTCAATTTGTAAAAAGTAATCTAACTTTCAGTTTTTTTTTTAGTTATATAAATTTTTTTAATCTTCTAATTTAAATAATGTAAATAGTGAAAAGCAATGAGATAAGAAACATGTGGCTGAGCTATACCAAAGTGAAAATGACAATTCTGTGTCTCTTTTCTCTCTCTTCAATGGCCCAAGTGAAGAAGGCGTTTCTCTCTCTTCAATGGCTGATTGCAGCAGGAGGACTCCACTGCCCTCTTCATTGCCGATCTTGTTTCCGATTACAACCGCATTCTATCTCTCTCTCTCTCTCTCGTCCTTCAGTGGCCGCCGATTGCCGGCGGAGCACTTCACGTCCACTGCCCTCTTCATTGCTGATCTGGTATTTGACAACAACCGCTCCATCGTCTTCGACTCTTGTCCCCTTCTCTCTCTCTCTCTCTCTCACCTCTCTCAGGTGCATAGGTATTTGTTAATCATCTACGATCCTGTGCGATCCCATTCATTCACAATCCTGCGACCGAGTTGGCATGCGTCCAATGTGGAAAACTCGATCCTACGAGTTGGACCACGATCTTGACAACCATTTCAATTATTGAAATGTCAGAATGAGCGGTTAGGTTATCGACTAGTTTTAATTTGTATTTTGATATTGTCATATTGTGATATATCTAATTGGATGCTTAGACTGTGTCATAATCTAGTAATGCATTCTAATTATCATGTAAAGTTGTTGCACTGATGGATTTTCTCTATCGTCAAGAGTTTCAGATCCTGGGCTTTTGAAATAAGGACTTTTTAAAGGCTTACTTTCTTTTAAAAGGAATTTTTTTAAAGTTAAAGCTATTTTATGTTTGGATGAAGTACATAAAAGTACTTTTAAGTAAAAAAATTATTTGGATGTTGTAAAGAACCATTTCAACCCAAAACCTTAAGTTGTTGGGTGAGGGCCTTTTTAATGGTTTATATTATTCTCTAACACACCCCTTCGCACAAGAGTCCTTTGGGTTTGAAGTGTGGATATTGCAGAGGCCCAATTTTTTTTGGTTTTACTTTATGCTTATTTAATTCCACAAGTGAGGGGTGGTGAGGATCGAACTCGTGACCTTATGGTCACTTAAGCTTAAAGTGTTGGGTGAGGGTCTTTTAATGGTTTATATTATTCTCTAATAGTTTAACTTTTTTTTTTATAATTCTTCTTCGTCTTCTTTTTTTTTTTCTTAAAAAGAGTTGCATCTAAATGTGCATATTATTTATTTGAAAAAAAAGTTGCTTCTTGTAGGAAAAAGCCCATTCAAATGCACTCAATATGATCCTAGAACCTTCTATGTACTAACCAAACTATTCTTTTGGTAATTATTTTTCGTCCAGTTAGTGAATCTGGTAGATGATTTCATTGGGGGAAAATGGTGTTTTGATTTCTACTAATCTTTTTGTTACATTAGGCAAGAGTAGTTCATTTTTTGTGCTAGAATATTGTTAGAACTGGAATCAGAAAATCAGTTATTCTAGTATTATTCACTATAGATCTGCTACAGATATCAGTGCGATGTCATTAACAGAGGGTAGCATACCCAGAACTGTATTAGACTCTTGAAACACTAGATAATACAGATAACACAAGCATTCGAGAGGACTGGACTCTCCCTCCTTTTCCACTTGCATGTTTCTTTTCTACTCTTCCTATCCTTACCTTTGTATTCCCCTCCTAACTAACTGAATCTTCATTTCATTTCCTGCTTCTTTTTCACATGTGGAGAAGTGATTATTCCCCTTCCAACAGTGTCAGTGTGACTATTGGACTGCTGATTCTCTACAACCCCTTCCCTTCTTCCTGCAATACACCCACTTAATTGGTGGCCTGCTAATGTTTAGTAACAAATTTTCAGGAAACTATTATTAACCTACCATGATGATCTTCAGGGTCACATATCTAAATGTGCTTTTGATTTGACCTTGACTTCATTCAGCTTCACACAAGCTCATAAAAGTTGCATTTTTTGAGAATTTCCTACCAATTGGACATTCTGCTGATGATCTTTTGCATAGAGGATCTAAATTGGATAACCTTATTGCCTATTGACTTTGTTTTCTGAATTAGGTATCAGCTATTACTGATCAATCTGGAATGCTAGAAGCTGGAGGAAATCCTGGTGATTTTGATGATGATGAAGGTGGTGGCATGGTAAGTAATCTATTTCTCAAGAAAATTGCCCAAGACCTTATAAAATTTTACTAAATTACACATATATCCCTCCTTTTTATAAAGTCTGCATGGAACTCTGCTTATGCAGGGTAACGGCTGCATTTGGTAACAGAATAATCATGTTTCGTTAGTGTGGTTATTATGTATTCTATATTGGAGTAATTTACTCTCTTTATTTCTGTTATATATATTAGCAGCTGAATGAGTATTGTCTTCCCTCCCTTATTTCCATATTTGGTTGGTTTTCTAGAATATTTCTGTCTGGGAAGTGCGCGCTTGTAAAGAACTATTTCAACTCAAAACCTTAAGGTGTTGGGTGAGAGCCTTTTTAATGATTTATATTATTCGTTAACATTTTTTCTCACGTAAGAGCCCTTTGGGCTTAAAAGGGTGGATATTGCATAGGCCTATTTTTTTTTATTTTTTTTGTTTATCTTATACTTATTTAATTCCACAAGTGGGGGGCGGTGAGGATTGAACTTATGACCTTGTGGTCATGGAAGTTCTGATACCATGTAAAGAATTATTTCAACCCAAAACCTTAAGGTGTTGGATGAGAGTCTTTTTAATGGTTTATATTATTTTCTAACAGCGCTTATGAAGATCATGACCATTGCATTAACTGTTAAGGGTCCGAGGAAAATTACTCAGTTATGTGGTCAAGTAGTATATAGGAAACTACTGCTAGGTAAATACTTTACATGGTTGGAACTGAAAAATTGACTGATCAAGTTCTGAATATTATATAAATGAATTTTAGCGTGTTAGCATTTTTGAATCATAGTAATTTCAGTAATAAAAATAAATGATCAAAGGGATTATAGCCATTAGTTACTCTGGTTGCTTATTTATTGCTGTTAGTCATTAGTTGGTTTGAATTTAGACCCTGCTTGCTTTGGCGGACTGTATGGGTACCACGCTTGAATTTAAAAGGAGGATAGGCTTATTTTAAGTGCACGTGGAAAAAGTCTCCCCACTTCTCGTTCAACAAGTACAAAATTATAACGATCTTGAGTGATATTCAATAAACCATGAAGCATTTTGTTTCATTAGGTTCACCTATATGCTCGTCTCTGTTCAAAAATTGGTATTAACAAGTACTCTTTTATTATTATTATTATTAAAATAGAAATCAACTTGGACTGTTTTTTATTCTAACCAGTGTCTAAGCTGACCTTTCTGAAATTTTCAGTCCCTGAATGCATGTTCTCGAGCATTACTCATGCAGAAGTTGGATCGCAGTGGCACTGCATCAAGGTTTGTCCCCTACCATTTTAGTTTTCCATATTTTTAGATTAACATATCATCTCACTTGTGCTTTTGTTGACAGCATGGTTGATTCCCTTGGTAATTCTGTTAACAAAGATATTAGTCTACCAGCAGCGGCACTTCTGGGAGCTGCGAGGGGTTCTCCACTGGTTCCCGCCCTTTCTTCAGTTACTGCAGTAGCTGGTTTGCCAGGTGGAGGTCTCCAAGTTCCTACGGCTACAATTCCTTCTATTGATACAATTGGTGTTCCAAGTGAATGCTTATTGTTAAAGAATATGTTTGATCCCAAAGATGAGGTGGCTAAATTTCACCTATACTTTGAATTTTGTCTGCCATACTTTTTTTTTTGTCTAATGGTATTGCTGACATGATGTGCTGCAGAAGGAACCCGATTTTGATTTAGATATTAAAGAAGATGTTGAGGCAGAGTGCTCCAAGTTTGGGAAGTTAAAACATATACATGTTGATAAGTGAGTAAACTAGTGATCTGTGTTCCTCTTTGTCTTCTATAATATAAGATTTTAAGTTTGTGGCATTTTCATTTATTTATCATTTCTATCATAAGCAGGAATAGTGCTGGTTTTGTGTACTTACGATTTGAAAATACCCAATCTGCAATAAGTTCACAGCTGGCCTTGCATGGAAGATGGTTTGCTGGGAAGATGATCACTGCAAGCTTCATGGTACATTTGACTGGTTTTATTTCCCTTTTGTTATTTTTATTTTTTGTTTTCTTGATGTCCACAATTGATGAACATCTTTCCCTAAGTAGAAATCTACTAAGTCCTGTATATGATGGCAGGTGCCCCAGTCATATGAGGATAAATTCCTAGACAGCAAATAAATTCATGGGGTCTAGCATTCGGTAGCTGTTGCATTTATGAGGAATCTCGTGGCAGAAATACTCATCCTTCAGAATCATACAACTTACAGCTTCCTTTGAGAAAGATTTGATCAATCCATGTACACATCAATGGAACTTTCATTTGTCTTGAGAGGTTAAAAGGTGCTTTTTGTAAAAGCTGCAGTTGCTATACATCTTCTGTTTTTGCGGGGTGTTGGTTTGATTTAAGCATCTTATTACGGTATTACTATTGTAGCTTGGCAGTGTTATTGATTGGGACAATGGCTTTGTGATGCTAGAAACATCGATGTAATTTCACTTTGGCTGATGCCTGATGGCAATCACACAAGTTTTGATGCTCCGCACTTTCTTTGTGGGCCGAATAGTTTAAGGGAACAAAAAATTAGTTGGTTAAAAGTTTTGGGTGAATAGTAGTATTTGTTGGTGTCTAATTTCCTTTTATCTTCCAAAATTTCCACCAAATTATTTTAGTTAAACTTTTGCATCAAAATTTGGGCAACAATTTCTGAGGATGAAATTCAACGGTAGAGAACCTCAGTCAGTTTATGGAATCTATAAAATCTAGTATGATTGCCCCGTCCAAAAAGCTGCTTTAATTTATTTATTGTTTTGGTTAAGTTAATGGTTTTGGCAGGAATGGACCCATGTTTTATTGGAGCAGGTGAAGTAATCCTAGTATGGGATGCTCATATCGGCTAGGAAAAGATTGAGTATTGATGCTTTTGTTAGATGGCTATGTACTCTTGAAAAACCTTTTGTATTATGAGTGTACGTTTATATTTATCTTTTCTATGTCCAGGAATGCTATTGCCATATAATTTTTTTAAGAGTAAATATCATTTTTCGTCCTTAAGAAAAAATAAGAGATCTATTTTAATCTCTTAAAAAAATAATCGACTTGTGGTCTTTCAGAAATTTAAAAGAAATTTAAAAAAAACTTATGTTAGTTCCTCAAAAGAATTAACATGGGTCTATTTTGAATTTGATCACGAATCAATTTTTTCCCTTAGGGATTACATTGGGTCCCGTGTAATTTTTTAGGACAAAAAAGAGTATTATTTTAGGACAAAAAAGAGTACTTTTTTTTTAAATATAACTAAAGTTTTGATCAAATTTAAGAGTAGTTGTGAAACGAAATAAAGTATTAAAGATATGAGCATGCTTTGTTTATGGAAATATTTTTTATTTTTTATTTTCTGCTTTCATTTATAATCATAAAAATGTTCATTGTTTTTATTTTATTTCTTGTTTCTAAAAATTTATACAGAAAATTGTAAAAAATGTCATTTTATTGTATTATTATTTCCACTAAAAAAGTTTAAAAATAAAAAATCAAGTGAAATTTTTATAATAATAAATAAAAAGCAATCGTATTTTGTGATTTTTTTACTTTATGTCTGGTATAATATTTTTAATCTTGTGAAACATAATGTAAAGAATCACCAAATATATATTGAAACATGTTTATTTTATTGAAAATGACATAAAATTGCATCATTTAAAATGAAAAAAAATACTAAGCAAGAACAAAAAAATTTAAGTTTTTTTTTTTTTGGAGTAAATATCCTTTTTGGTCCTCAGCAAATCTCACGATGCCCGCTTTAGTCCCTAGCAAATAAAAAGGTCAATCGTGGTCTCTAAGAAATTCAAAATGGATCCATTTTAGTCCTTGTGAGGGATTAATATAGGTCTTTTTTAAATTTGTGAAGGACCATGATTTCAACTAAATGGGGTCCATTTTGAATTTCTAAGGGATCACGATGGCTTTTTTATTTGCTAAGGACTAAAGAGGGCATCATGAAATTTGTTGAGGATCAAAAAAGTATTTTTTTTTTTTTTTTTAATGTCATGTGTCGTTTTCATTGAAATAATGCAGTCCTTTAGGAGATGAGAGTAGATAATTCTTTGTTGTTTTTTTTTAACTATGGGCTGAACTGGGGTTAAAGTTAAGAAGCTGCGAGTTTAAACTGATACTCGTATGTTCTGATTTTGACCATAGTTATGGTGCTCTGATTGTTTTGCCAGATATATGGTCAGTCCACAATTGTTCAGCATTTTCTGTAGAACATAATTTAATCGTCAAGCATTATCAGAATGTAGATAGATATATGTACGTTCAATGGTTGATTAAATAAAATTTCATGAGGACACATCATCTATTCTATCATTGATGTCAGCAATTGCATAAGATTTATTTACTTTGAGCGAAAACAAGAAGGTTCAATGCAAGTTGAAGTTGGGTTGCAAATTGTACATGTCCAAAATGGTTTGAGGAAAGTATAGTTGCAGTTGAAACTTGCTTTTCAGTTTGTGTTCTCTCACGGACTCACGGGAGTTACTCGCCTAACGATGACAAGATCTAACATTATTTTTTATTACGACGGCCAAAAAATTACTTGTAAATAATTTTTTGAATAAAAAATTAATTGGGCAATGAAAGGTTGTCCCGTTTTATGAATTGAGTTAAGTTGTTTGTCCTGGCTCCTTAGATAAATTATTCGTACCTTTGATTCAGAAAATGACAGAGAAAAAGAGTTGGAGCATTTTACGTGTGGCCTGTCGTCGTCAAATTGAATTATGGCACCTTAGACAAACATTATCATCTTTGTCTAGCTGACTAGCTATATAATCTTTTGTATATTCACAAATATATATATATATATATACAAAACGGATGGCCTGTCTTCGTCAAATTGAATTGTGGCACCTCCTAATCCTATCACAAGCATTGTGGACTGTGGTCATCATCTTTGTCTCACTATATACATATAAACTTTTGTATTTGCTCTTCCTCGAAGCAATGGAAACAAAAGTAGTTGAAGACATTGTGATTGTGGGTGCTGGTATTGCTGGCCTTACTACATCCTTAGGATTTCACAGGTAATTCTTCAATTCTCTGTTAAATACTGTGTGTAGTATTTTTCCTTGATTATGATTATTAATGTAAGGATAAAAGAAGTATCATTTTGAATGACACAAGCTTGTGTCATTTTAGATGTTTTACACAAAGTACGACCGGTTGTACTTTGTGTAAAACTGAAGAGTTGTTTTTTTTTTTCTCTCCTCAGTCACATCGTTGATGTGTAAAGTGGAAAAAAAAATAACTTTTCAGAATTATACAGAGTACCACCGCTCGTAATCTGTGTAAATCACTGAAAGGACACAACTTGTATCCTTTTGAACGACACACACTAAACCCTTAATGTAAATTAAGCTATTATTTGATAGTGATATATACTTGCTGGCAGGTTGGGTATCCAAAGTTTGGTATTAGAATCTGCAGATACTTTGAGGGGCACTGGCTTTGCATTCTCACAATGGAAAAATGCTTGGAAGGCCTTGGATGCTGTTGGTGTTGGAGACATTCTTCGCCAGCAACATGTACAGCTTCTTGGGTAAGTATTTCTTATCAATTTATTTATATGTCACTCTCGCCCGCTTCAGTCACTTCACACTGTGAGTGATGTGGTCTTTTGAACTCCTATATCATAATTAATTCAAGAACGAAATAGGTTAAGTTTCCACTTAATAATTTCTTTGATGAAAGAATTTAAAGCTGCGTTAGATGTTAGAGTCCATGTTAATATCATATACACTAATATTGTAAGAATATGATATTTAATCTTACTTTTCTTTAGTTAGAAAGAGATTCATCTCTTTTTCAAAGGCTTGGATTAGATTTTAGTAAAGATGTTTTCGATAGAATTCATAATGAAAAAACATTTTGAGAGAGTCATTAAGATGCCAATCCAAAGAGTAAATAATTAAGTCCAGTGTGTTTAGTCATGTTTAACACTTAAAAAAAAAAAAATAGAACAGATGAAAAATATACTAAACGGAGTAAGAGTAAGTGGAACACCATCTCTAATTAATTTATAGAATATGTCATATTTCTTATTTTATTTCGTAAAATATTTTACGCAATATTAAAAATATTAGATTAAAAATAGTCTAAGAATTAATTTCTTCACACGATAACTCATGGTCATGTAACAAATACACCCACAAAGAATATGTCATTAAGATGCAAAAAAACTACAACTAAAATCAGTGGCTCGTAGGCTTAAAGTAATCAGCACTATATAAAGTGAGGGATTTTCATACTCCTACATTAATAATTGCACATAAAAAGATGATAGGAGCATAAATCTTTTAAAAGTCGTCTACGTCTACATATCTAAGTAAACATATAGAGGCGCAAATCTGCTTCAGTGTGATCCTCTTAGATTAGAATTAACATCTCCACACAAATAAATCCAGTCTATGTATACTAATATGGAAATGTTATAGATAAAAAACGCTCAAAATTACTAAGAATATTTTTCACCTATGGTGCTAAAGCGTGTTGACTCTGCAACTTTAAATCGTGTTTAACTCTTTTTGTCTTATGTGAGCCACTTGTCATGTGATTATAGGCTAATGTAGGTCAATTCTAACTAAAGTAAGGCTAATTAAAAGTGATCAAATTGCAACTTTTTTTTAAATTTTTTTGCCTAAATGCCACGCAAATAATATTTTTTACCAGATTGTCGTACGTTCAAATATTTTTTCTATTAATGTACCAAATTCGCTAATAGTGTTAGCAAATTTAGTGGTCAAAACAGTCAATCTTTTTCTTGCGAAAGTGTGTCATGTATTACGAAATCACATGCTATTAAATTTGCTACTACCGGTAGCAAATTTGGTATGCTAATGGGAATGTGCTACGTGGCCAAACCAAATTCACTACCGGTCATAGCGAGTTTGGACGCGTATCAGTCTGATAAAAAATACTATTCGCATAGTATTTAAGAAAATGTGACATTTAAGTCACTGCTCCTAATAATTACGAAAGCAAATATTATTGGACATGAAATGAATTTATTTTCAAAAAGCACACTTAATATCATAATTAATGCTAATACACAATGTGCACACGAAACACGAAGTGTGTGATACAGGAAGAAAAAAAGCATGAAACTAAATAACTCCAATTGGTGTGCAGGAATGTGACTACTTCTTTGATCACGGGGCAACAAACATCAAATACGTCTTTCATGGATAAAGAAAAGAAGTAGGTACTCTGTATATGGATAATGTTCACCCTATATGCCTTAGCTCCTATTTTTTCTTGCCGTACATGATATACTTCAGTAGTGGGTTACTTTCAGCGTGTAGAGGCCACTAAAATTGTTGTTATGATGGGTGTTTTTATGTGATGCAGTGGAGTTGGTGAAGTTCGTTGTGTAAGAAGGCGGTTAATGTTGGAAGCCCTTGCCAATGAGCTTCCAAGTGGCACCATCAGGTTCTCGTCCAAGGTGGTTTCTATTGAGGAATCTGGCTTCTCTAAGATACTCCATCTCGCTGATGGTACAACCATCAAAACCAAGGTAAACAATATGTGTGACATGACATATGAAATAACCGAAGACACTTTTACCCTTTCATGGAATGAAGTTCATTTATAAGAAGAAAACAACTTCTATTATGAATCAATATATATATCAGTAAAACCTTAAATGATACAAG